TCTCCAGCCTGTCCAGGTCTCTCTGGATGCCATCCCGTCCTTCTGGTGTGTCAACCGCACCACTCAGCTTGGTGTCATCCACAAACTTGCTGAGGGTGCGCTCGATCTCGCTGTCTAAGTCATTGATGAAAAAACATTAAACAGCACCGGTCCCAGCAAAGAAGACAAACTGTTTTGTGTATATATAACCCTGATGCATACAGGGTTTTTTAAACCTGAACGTGTTTTTTATACGGAAAAAAAATTAACTTTTTGCCCCCAAAAAACCCTGCTCAGCATTCAAAGTATTTGGCAGATGTGGATGTCTTCCCCAGGCACTGAATGCAAAGGAGGTCGCTGCGTATTTCTTTAGCTACCCTCAGAGCTGGAGCTCCGTCCTGTAGCCGAAGCGGAGAAGCTGACCATTCCCAGACGGGATGGGCTGGAATGCTGTAGGAACTGCGTGAATGAAAAGTCTCAGCCATCAGACAGGTCCTGCAGCCCAACAGCTCTTTGGCTAACGAAGAACACTTTCAACTGCCTTTAGGACAGAGGCAATCTGATCGCATGCATCACACCCACATCTGTGTGCGGGATCCTAACGAACTTGGACTAGATTTACATATAAAACATTTCTATAAATCTTATCTTAAAACCAAAATCCTCCTTCAGTTGCCCTAACATGTTGCAGGAGGGAAAATGCCGCTCCAATGTCAGCATATAAACAGATGGAGACCGAGACCTCAGCTACAGATACCCACACCCCAGCACCTCCTAGGTTTGTGCTCTCATTCGGGCTTTACCCGTCGTTTCTCCTGGCGACTGCCACGCACCCTGCCCGCAGCTGCGCCTGCGAGCGATGGGATGAAGGACTTTTGCAGGGGAGAAGGCGGCAGCCTCAGGTGCCATCCTGGGTGCTTTAGCTAGTCTGGGAAGCACGGCGACAGCAGTTAGCCCAGCAAGCTGCATCCTCTGCTTCCATTTCACGCTCTGCTCGGAGCACCTGATGCAGCTCACAGGCACCTCCCAGCAAGAGCTGGAAAACAAGGGAGGTTTAAGTCCGCGCCTAAGCGCCGAAACACTGCTCCACTGTCATTGTGCAGCAGTTGGAAATAAAAAAGCATGACAGCTAGAGACACTGCTCACTGGTATAAATGACTTCTGCTCATTAGGCAGGCGAGTGTTCCCAGGGACCACGTGCGCACAGCCGCAGCCTCGTGCCGGCCACAGGTTTAGCTCAAAACATACAACAGCTCTACATTAAAACTGAGAAAGACCTCAGGGTAGGAGAAGGTATTTTAAGTTAGGGAAGCAAAAAACCTCAAAAGATCTGGGAAGATTGGATATACTTGTGTATGCTGTGACCGTCTGTCTTCTGCTCCAAAATGCCTCTTTTTGTTCAACTATGCACTTAAAGAGCCGCAGAAAATCGGTCAGGAACAATGAGGTGTAAGAGCAGCAGGCAGACGGACGCTAAAGAAGGTAAGGACAACGGTTGGGTCATGAACCGAGCTGGAATCCTTCATGCTTAATGGTGCTAAACTGGGCACAGCACTTACCTCAAAGACCTTGGCAAAGAGATTTACCTGAGCCCAGACTGCAAACGGACGCAGCCCAGGGAGTGCGCTGAACACCAGACGCTTCACCCGCCCTGCAAACCAGGGCCAAGGCAGCAGAGGTAACGCTCAGGAAGGCCCTAGCACAGGACCTGTGCAGTACGTTTGCATCCATCTCCAGCTTGGAAAAAAGCAATGATTTGGCTGAGGTAAATTCCACCTCAGAACTTGGCACGTGGCTTGAACGACCACGGCAATAGCCTAAGGGTGCAGCATGGGCGGAAACAGAGCCGAGTCCTTCAAAACCAGTAACAAACCCCAGTATTTGGAAGACCGAACACAATTCTCAGGATGCTGCTTTTCAAGTATTTTTGCATCTAGATATTGCGGGCAGCATTCCACAGGCAGAGACACAGAAATGATCAAAGATGCCCGGTACGATGCTGCTAAATTGACTTTATCAACCAGACACATTATTCCCTGCCCTGAATATGCAGAAATCAACTTCTATTTAATGAAAGGAAGGTTAATCTGCTGATTAATCTTCTCTGGTGTTGTTTTTATTAAAGCACCAGAGCTCTAATCTCAGTAATAAGATATTCCACTGAGTCACCGCAGAGCTGTATTACCGCCTAGCGATGTGTCAGCACTTCTCTTCCAGCTTTCCCCCTTCCCTAGTTCGACCCGCCACTCCAGAGAATGTCAGCCCTCCATCCGTTCCCCAGACTCGCTCGTCATTACTGGGAATGAGATGGCCTGGGTTCACACCAAAGGCTTTTTTTCCCAGCTCCAGCCAGGGTACCGTGTTCCAGCTCGGCCCATTCCACCCCCATGCATGGAAGCACGAAGCCTCAGCTGGCAGGCGTGCGAGCGTAAGTGACCTGAGCTCTGTCAGCCGCGGGACAGAGCTGTCACCAAGAGCATCTCAGGAAATACCCCAACTCCTGCGTCCCCACGGCAAGGAACGCTATATTCTGATTCACTTTAGAAGTGTAAGAAAAATGGGAAGAAACCCTTTAACAGCAAGGGGGGAAACAGCGGTGTATTTAAGAAACCAGGCGGGTAGAAAGCAGAATGGTTTTCACGCTTACAGCAAGGATGCTGGGCGGGCTGTAAGCACCCCCTTCACTTTTAAAGTGTACTTAGATTTTTAAAAGGCCACTTGTCTTCCCCCTCCTTGTTCCCTGCTGTATTTCTTTCACAGGAGGAGAAATTCAAGCACATTTTATCAGTTCAGGTTATGACAGAAATGGACCACAGGTGTAAGACTCATCTTACTCTGATTTTCTGTCCTGGTTTCAGCTGGGATAGAGTTAATTTTCTTCATAGAAGCTAGCATAGTGCTGTGTTTTGGATTTAGTACCAGAAGAATGTTGATAACACACTGATGTTTTCAGTTATTGCCAAGTAGTGCTCAGACTACTCAAGGACTTTTTTGAGCTTCTCCTGCTCGGCCAGGGGCATAACAAGCTGGGAGTACAGCACAGCCAGGCCAGCTGACCCCAGCTGACCAAAGAGCCATTCCAGACCATGGAATGTCATGCTCGGGGGGAGTTAGTCGGTCGGTCGCGGGGAGACTGCTCACTGCTCGGGGACTGATCGCAGCCCGGGGAGTGATCGTGGCTCGGGACGGGCTGGGCATCGGTCGGCAGGTGGTGAGCAATTGCATTGTGCATCATTCGTTTTGTATATTCTGTATATTCTGTTATCATTCTCATTATTATTATTATTTTCTCTTATTAAACTGTCTTTATCTCAGCCCTCGGCTCTAACCTTTTATTTTCTTCCCGATTCTCTCCCCCATCCCACTGAGGGAGGGGGGAGTGAGCGAGCGGCTGCATGGTGCTGAGTTGCCAGCTGGGTTAAACCACGACATTTTCCAAGACTTTCCCTCTGGGCCACAAGTTCTCACATGAATTTCCAGCAACAAATAACGATCTGCATTGAAAGCCTGAACATCATCTCCAAAAAGCATTTAGGTCAGAAAAACTTAAGTCACAGCTCACATAATTTAGGTTATTTTAAGAAAAAGCAACAGAATCCTTGCCAAAGAAACACAGCCGGTACCTGGAGGCTTTAGAAGGAGTTTGGTATCTTGTTTTAAATCCCACACGCACGACAACCACCGGCTATGACCGTGAGTGACACTAAACTGATTAGAAATTAAATTCAACGACCAGCATCAAAGGAGCTTACAGCCTTAGGCTGGCTTGGTCACTTTCTAAGGGCTCGGGCATTTAAAGAGGTCAATGCAAGGGTCACTTGGGGTGGCCTAGCCACAAGGTGGAGGGTAACTCGGTCATGCAGCCACCCGTTCCTAATGGCCACCTCATGGCAACGCCGTCTCCAATATTTACCTCTTGGTGTTGTAGGCTGTATCTTGGGGTGTTTCTTCAAGCAAGGTTACGTAGCCCAGCGCACAGGTGAGGATGAACAGGACTGTTAAGGTATGAGCTCTCCTGAAATTTAGAAGAGAGAAAATGGACATCAGAAAGCAGAAAAACTTGGATCTTCACCTGTCTGCGAAGCCTCACAAAGTCCAGCACGGAGCCAACGATGCTACAGAAGTTTTATGTATTGCACAGCACAGAAAGTTGAATTTATGGTGACAGTAAGTTTAGTTCCCGGTCCGCTGGTTGCCAGCATGCGACAGAAGCCTAGCACGAGATTGGGGCTCGCTTGAGTTCCCCCCAGGGCTTTGAGTTCAGGAAGATCTGGACCCACACTTGCCAAGTGAACAGCAGCAACCTGAAAAAAAATCAGCACCAACTGTGCTAATGCTTAGACCCAAAAGCCTCCTGGTCCTCTCCCGGTTTGTCGGGCATATGTCAGGCACAGCGCCACTTCAGACCTGTCACTAAAACCTGCAGCAGGCGGAGCAGGCTCTCGAGGCTCAGCGGAGGGGCATTCACTCCAGACACGGGAACTGCACGTTCCAAGAAAAACCAGTCCTTAAAAACCATAAACCTCTGCATGAGAACAGTTGCCGTTGTGGGAATGATGATGGTGCCTCCAGGGGCCTTATCTCTAGGAATCACAACCACCCCATGCAACGCTACAGGCTCGGGGAAGAGTGGCTGGAAAGCTGCCTGGTGGAAAAAGACCTGGGGGTGCTGGTTGACAGCCGGCTGAATAGGAGCCAGCAGTGTGCCCAGGTGGCCAAGAAGGCCAATGGCATCCTGGCTTGTATCAGGAATAGTGTGACCAGCAGGAGTAGGGAAGTGATCGT